CTGATATGGAATAAGCAGCTTCAGAAAGTAAGTTATTTATTGCTAGTAATGCTTGGACTTTTAACACCGGAGCGAGCCTAAGAAAGGTCTTGGTTGGGCAATGACAATTTACATCTTCATCAACTACTACTGAGAATTTTAGTTTCTATAATTTATCAAAATAGCTAAAAATAATCTTTTGCCTCCTGAAGTTAGTAACTGAGCTTTTGCTGTTATATTTTAACCAGATGTGTCTTTTTAAGGGACTTAAATAAATTTCCCTAATTTAACTGTTCCTTCAAATATTGGTAGAGATGACATTCTCTCATGCTAATCTTTTTAAGCTGCAGTATTGACACCAATAAATGATTCTCACTCATCAAAACTACTTATAAATAGATTCCACACAAACTTGCTGGAATCTGAACCACACACCCAAGCATCGCAGTCTATCCACTGGAGGGCACTCAACGTGACCACTGCAAAGGAAGCGATGGTGCCCTAACAGCACTACTCTGCAGCCCTAACACCACTACTTGGAGGCGGCAGGTCTGGGGGGGACTCTGCAGTGGGGAAGGTGTCTTCATTACCAAGTTGTCTTTTAAGAGTTTCCTAAGGGAGAAAACAGATCACATGCATACTTCAAGGATGGGCAGAGATAAGGCCTCAACAGATAAATCTAGGTTTCAAACCAAGTCAAGTTCAGTCTTGCAAGAAACACAAAGACAGCTTTGCTAAGTAAATAGAACAAAGAACTTTCTCCTGAGTTTAAGGGATGAAACCCAATAGAAGTTAACTTCTAACTCATTTTCAATTAAAACAAAGCACGTATTTTCCTTTTGGGAAACTGGAGATGTATTTATTTTAATCTATTAACTCCACGTGTCTATCACACAGTTGCAACAGTATCACATACATAGTCTTAAGGAGAAGTACTTCCACAAATCAGGGTCCTCTCGATGAGAGCACAGGAGAGAAAAACCATCTGCTTTAGACAACTGAAAAGCAGTTCTTGGTCTATGTTTTCTATTTACTGTCATGGCACAAAAATTTTTTAAAAAGCTGTAATAAATAGCATAGTTCATATAAAGAGAAACTAACAAAAAATTAAGTATTAGCAATGTTTTGAAAATAATTAGAAGCCAACATACAGCAATATACTGGATTTGCCAGTGCTGTTTATAACAAGTATGTCCAGTTCCTAAGGCGTCCGTACTTTCTATCCGGGCTGGCATTCAAGCAAGCTCCTGACAGCTCACCGCACACTTCCGCTACAGTTACTATCAGCCCAGACGATGAAAGAGGAAAAAAAATCTTCTTATAAACACGTGAGCTCTCACTCTAACAGCACTAAAGGCTTCCTTTGACTAAATGTCCAGGGGCTCTAACTTCAGTTCTATCTGGAGTGGTATTCAAGTTTCTGAATTCCTGCCCTCTCGACAATACCTAGGCTCCTCTTCCTGCTCCACACCCTGTAACAAAATGAGGATCTCTCAGGCGGCCTGAGCACCACATTCCAAAACATCCCGGAGAAGCTGCCTCGCTTTCCCTTCCCGCCTCGGCAGTGGTGTTTTAAAAAACAAGCATACAGATCTTCTCCAGGAAGCTCAACTAAGCTGGATAAATTTTAACACTGAAATGTACATTTTCTACACAATAATTTCGGTAAAGGGGGTTCTCAGGAGACAATTAGTTTAAAAAAGGACTCTGATACTTCTGCACAATGAACAATTACATATTTTGTTTTATCAGCCACGCTATTTTTAAAGCTCGTTTTTCCTATGCACTGTTTTGAGACTTTGGTTCGGGCCTCCGAGAGCTTCTCGGGCCTAGGACTGACTCCAAAGGGCTCGAAGTTAGGCTGTTCAGCAGTTCTCTATTTCCTCCTGGAGGACTCTAGCCTTGAATAGTCACGGCACTTCTTTAATCCCATAGGACAGACTTCCGCAAGTTTTCCAGTTACTGTTGCTATCGCTTCAGGGCCTTGTCCTTGTACAAAGCCTTCAGAACAAAGATTAGGTCAAAGTAATGAAATCAGTTCCAAATTAATCAAATTTTGTCAACTGTGAAAGGACACCTTCCAAATAAGCCTTAGGGCACTGTAGAAACTTCAACGTTTTTTAAAATTTTAAATGTACACCGAGAATAAACGTAGCCAACAGCCTACTTCAAACAAGAATCGACTGCCAGCGCGTAAAAAGCCTGCAAAGGAGAAGTTTACGCCTTGAATTTAAGCCGACCTTAAACAGCAGCGCGACGCAAACACCGCTCAGAGTACAGCTCGGGATGCAGAAAGTTGTCACGGAAACCCCCGAGGCGGGTCCGGCGGGGTCGCC